TCAACAAAAAATTGAAATTAAAAAAAATTTGTTTTTTTACTTTATGCCAAAATAAACGCAAAAAAATCCACTATGCGTTGGTCGGTCTCGGGAAGTGAGCACATATGTACATGCACATTGCCAAAATTACTGATTAAGTCATAAAGGCTCATTTGACAGTCACTCTACAATTCAAACCATATAAAATTGACAAACTACTGAATCGCCAGACAATTATCATCCCATCTCATACATACATAGGTACACATATGTATGCAAATGTATGTGCTCCTTCAAAGGCCAATTAACGGTAAATTTTGGGCACTACAATTTGCTCAGGCAGTAAGAGTTACGCACACAGGCCACAAATGCTCACACATGTTTCCAGGTACTGCAAGTGTATGTGTGCTTGCCCGTCGCTTTCATACCCTTCCCACGAATAACCATCGAAACGCTTACATTTTGTTTGCATGAGCGTGACAAACGCTTTTATGATTTCGGTATCCCTTCACTCAAAAGGAAAGAGCTGGGATCGTCGCGAACAATTTTAAATTTCTGTGCGCTGCTGCTATTTGAGAGACCATAGAGAGAGAGCATAAAGAGAGGGAGAGAGTGAGTAAGGGAAAAAGAGCGCATAACCGTACTTCATTTGGGAACGTGTGCATTTCGTGGCAGCGGTCGCAGCGCGTTGATTTTGTCGTGCCTTATTTTTTTTTTTTGACTGCTTGAGCTTCAAAAGACCGAGCCAAGCAAATACGAAGTTGTCTGGTCTCTTCAGCGCATTTTTTCGTCGTTGAAAAAATTAGTTTTTTATTTATTTATTTTATAAATTTAGATATAATTAAAAATTAAGATCTAACTTAATTTTAACAGCACTGGCTACTATGGCCTTCGGCTCTAACTTATCCTATGCATTTACATTTATATACATATTTACATTGTTTTGTTGGTTGGGAACTAAATGAGGTGGTATAAATCTGTTATTTTTAGAAACTTGATTATTGAGCATATGTTTTCAGGGGTTGGGTTTGAGAGTAAGGATATGGGGCAGCTGTTGTGGAAGATTTGGGTTTTCAGGTGGGAAGTTGCGGGACAGTTAAAGAAAATATGTTGGATGGTGAGGTCTGTTGTGGTGTTGCAGTTGGGGCATGGGATTATGTTGTCAGGGTTGATGTATTGTTGTTTTGTAAATCTTGTGTGTCCTAGTCGGAGTCTTAGTATTTTTACTTGGTCGCTGCGTGTAATAATTTCTTGTTTTATGTTTTTTAAGTAATAGGTTGTGTGTGTCAGGTTGTTGAGTTGCTGATACCAACTGTTGCAGACTTCTATATTTTGATGGAGTTTTTTGGATGATTCGTTGGCAAGGAATTTGTGTATATCTTTGGAATTGAAGTTTGGGGTGTAGTGGAGGGGGCATTTTGGCTGTGGATTTGGCTGTGATATCGGCAAGCTCATTCCCATCGATGCCACAGTGGCTGGGTACCCAGAACAGTTTTATTTTGGGGGCAGATTTTGTAAGGAGTGTTCTTATGGTTGCGGGATATAAGTTGTTGTTGTTGGTATTGGAGATGGATTTTAGGGACGAGAGGGAGTCGGAGCAAATGATGTATTTTCCTGTTCTTTTTTTTTGGATCAGTTCTATGGCATGGAGAATAGCTATGGTTTCGGCGGATAGGATGGATGAGTAATGGGGTAGGATACATCTTTTTAGGACTTCATTTTCTGTAGTAATGGCAAAAGTGGCTGTGTCATTTTGCAGTGAGCCGTCGGTGTAAATGAATGTATGGTCTTTGTATATATGTTTGAGATTGGCGAATTGTTGTCTATATGAGCTGGGAAGTGTGTGGGGTTTGCTGAATTGGTGCAGTGTGGTGTTGATGAGGGGAGCGGGAAATAACCATGAGGGGGTGATTGTTTTGTTTGGAGGTGGAAGGTAGGGGATATTGTGTTCTTTGCATGAATTTATTATTTTTTGCACTGTTGATGTTAGTTTGCTGTTTCTATGGTTGCAGTTCCGTTTTATGTATTTATGGAGTGGGGAGTCTGAGCTATTTAGGAGTGTTTTATAGGATTTGGCTGTGATGAGGTCTCTTTTTTTGTTCTATTGTGGGTATATTTGATTCGAAAAGCAAGTTGGGGATAGGGGTCGAGCGTAGTGCTCCAAGGGATATGCGGATTGCGGCGTTAAATAAGGTTTTAAGTCTATTGAGGGTTGATTTGGGGGCATGGCCGTATATGAAAATCCCATATTCTATTTTTGATAGAAGCGTAGCTTTTGTAATGTTTATGAGGGTATGGGTGCTGCAATTTTGTTTGGGATTGGCAAGGAATTTTATTATATTTAGTTTTTTTGTTAGCGCCGGTTGTATTGCTTTTATATGGGAGTCCCATCTATATTTATTATTTAGTGTTAGGCCTAAGATTTTTAGGCTGGAAACGGAGGGAATGGGGGTGTTGTTGGACGATATGGTGCAAATGCAATTATGCCTTCGGCAAATGTGGAGGTGTTTTGATTTGTTGAGTGCGAGTGATGCTCCTGAATATGAGCACCATTCGTGGATTTGGGCAAAGAGGCTGTCAAGGTTATGGGATAGGTTTTTTTCTTTATTGAGGGGTATAAATAGGAAAAAATCATCGGCATAGGCGCAGAATTGCAGCTCCCTATGTAAGCCGATGATGTTGGAGAGGTTGTTGTAGGCAATTAGGAAAAGGATGACGGATATTGGGGATCCCTGGGGGGATGCCGTTGAAGAGTGGATAGGGGCGGGTTATTATGTTTTTAATTTTTATTTTTATTTTCCTATTGTTCATGAAGTTTTTTATGTAGTTTATTATTTTTGGGCCGACTTTCCACCTGATGAGTTGGTCCAAAACCGTATGCACCCCAACTCTGTCGAATGCTCTTGAAAAGTCAAGGGCAATGACGGAGGTGTGCTTCTTGGCTTGCAGCGACTTAGTTATCAGGTGGTCTGCGAGGAGCAGACCGTCTGCAACTGACTTGCCGTGCTTAAAACTTGTCTGGTTTGGGTGTATCAGTCTGTTTTGGGTGACAAGCCACCATAGGCGTTTGGCTATTATTTTTTCAAGTGTTTTTGATAGGCAGCAGTTGAGGGAGATTGGTCTATAGTTATTGATTATTGTTTTATTTGAATTGGGTTTAAGGATAGGGATGACTAGGCTGGTTTTAAAGGTTTGAGGGATGTGGTTGTTGAAAATATTATTGAAAAGGTTTTTTATTCTGATCTTTAGGGCGTAGGAGGTGTTTTTTTATTATGGGATAGGATATTCTATTTAGGCCGGGAGTTGTTCCTTTGAGGGTCTGTAATGAGGATAGTAATTCAATCATTGTAATTTCAGATTCTATTGTTTGTGCTCTCGAGTTGGGTATGTAGTTAATTGGTTTATTTGAGTATTTGTTCGTAGTAAAGATTTGGTGGAAATTTTCGTCTTTGGATTGGTCAGACCAGTGTTTAGCAAAGAGATGGGCTATATGGGTTGTGTCTGTTGTGAGTGAGTTGTTAGTTGTGTCTGTTATACAGTGTATAATTTTGGTTGGGTTAAGTCCGCAGAGGCGTCGGATGTTAGCCCAAATTTTTTCAGAGGGGGTATTGGGTTGGATTGTCGACGTGAAGGTTGTCATAGCTTTTGTTTTTGTCATTTTAAGTTCTCTTCGAAACATTGCATTAGCTTTCTTATATTTTATAAGATTTTCATTGCTATTATTCCGCTTAAAATTTTGCCACGTTTTAAATTTATTTTTCCTTAGTTGGGTCAGGGTCTTATTCCACCAGGGGGTGTTCTTACTGTAGTGGTGTGGAGTTGTTTGGGGTATGCTGTGATGGGCAGCTTGCAGTATTATCTTGTTTATGGTTGCGGCCTCTTTATTAATGTTAGTAGATGTGGGTATGATTTCATTTATATTTTCTGTTAGTTTCGCGAAGAGTGGCCAGTCGGCTTCTTTTATTTTGAAAAAGGGGCGGGAAAAGTTTGTGGTTTGTGTTTGAGGGAACAATGAGATTAGGATTGGAAAGTGATCGCTTCCGTGTAGGTCGTCGAAAATTTTCCAGGTAGTGAATGGTGTGATTTGGGGGGAGCATAGAGAGAGGTCTAGGTGCGTGAATGTATTATGAGTGGAGAAGTGGGTTGGGGGAGCCGTCGTTAAGTATGGTGAGGTTAGCGTTATGGACAAATTTTGCTAAAATTCTGCCTCTCTTGTTGTCCTGAGGTGAGCCCCAGCTATGGTGTCTACAGTTAAAGTCGCCTAGGATAATTTGGTTGGTGTTGCTGTTATTTGTCTCAAAATGGTCGCTTAGGTTTTTAGGTGTGAAGGCTTTGCTGGGTGGGATATATGCTGAAAAAATGTTGATTTTTGTTTTTGACAAGATTTCTATTGCAAGGGTTTCTAATTGTGTAGGTTGGCTTAATTGTTTGTGTTGTATGGACTTGTGGACTAATATCGATACGCCACCAAAACGATTGGAGGCTGTATTTGTGTAAATTTGGAAGTTTATTTTAGATGTCTAGTCTATGTGTTCTCTGATTAGTGGTGTATGATTTTCGATAAGGGCTTTAATCCATAACAAAATAACGGGAATTATTGAATTTTGAGTTATCGATTTTAGGAGATAAACTCGATATCCGCGCTATATATACGGACATTTGAAAACAAAAATTCAAGTCTTCAACCCATATTTCTTCTGAAATCGACGCGTTCAAACATACGGAAAGACGGACGGTCAGACAGACGGACAGGGCCAAATCGACTCAGCTCGTCGCCATGATCAAGATTATATATACTTTGAGGGGTCTGCCACGCCTCCTTTTGCCTGTTACATACATTTAAAAAAAAAACATAGCCTAATTTCTCATTAAAAATGGGTTCAGGGTATACAAATTTCGAATTTATATTATTGAATTTAGTACTATACAATGCTAAGACAGTCGTTTATTTTATGCCTTCTATGAATGATTATAAGAATAAAAAAGTAATTAGTATACACTTTTTCTACTTTTTATTATAGGCGTATAGTTGCTAAACTTTGTCTACTACCAATATATTGATAACAAAAATGTCTCCAAATTGGCTCCTGTTTCTTAAGATCCTTATTTTATTGACAGGTAAGTTTTTATAATATGAAACAAAAAAAAAAAAAAAAAACAAGTAAGATAGCTCTAGCCGAGACTGCTCGACTACGAGATCATCTGAACCCTTCGAACAACTGATATTTCAATAATTATTCGCACATGCACACACACACGCATACACATAGACATACGCACGCACGCTTAAAAACGCATTGGCTGCAGTGTTGGCTTACAATGGGAAGTCTGTTAATTGTTTAATAAATTTTCTTGTGGGTGGATTATCTTTGCATTTGCATTGCATTTGCCAAAGCACAAGTCTCTAATATTTGTAATACGCCATTTACAAAGGTTATATTCAGTGGTTGGATGTAGGGATGGGGGTATATTTTAACAAAAAACGAAAACCTATAAAGCACATATAAATCTACATTTAAGATTTGGCGACTCTAGCTTTCAAGATGTAGGAGATATAAATTTATTGCTGGTTTCCGATATTGTTTTTAATCTATAACAGAATAAAAAAAAGTATCGATTTTTATACCCTGAACCCATTGAAAATGGGAAATCAGGATATAATGGTTTTGTTGATATGTATGTAACAGGCAGAAGGAGGCGTGGCGGACCACTAAAAGTATATTTATTCTTGATCATGGCGACGAGCTGAGTCGATTTGGCCCTGTCCGTCTGTCTGTCTGTCAACCACGCAGATATCAATTTTGATTTAAAAATCGATAACCCCTCCCGATATTTTTATCGACAAAAAACCTTATCTTAAATCAGTTATAAAATTATATCTCCTACAACCATAAAGCTAAAGTCCAAATTTTTAATGTAGATTTATATGCAATTTATACAATTTCGTTTTTTTTTTTTTTAATTTACTCCCCACCGCTATATTCACCCCCTTACCAACATATTTGCAAAAAGCGTATTTCAACCGCACACTGCAGCCCATGCGTGTTTAGGCGTGGGTGCTTGTGTGTTTGTGTGCGTGTGGGTGTTTGTGTGTGTGTGGGTGTTTGTGTGTGTGTGCGTGTGTCTTGTGTAAGTAGAAAGACGTGATAAGTGTGTAAAGTTACTTGTTTATGCCAGGGTGATGGACTCAGTCTCACCAGGGCCAGAACTCAAAAGAAAATTTGTAAGTAACTGCGGGACACGTTGGTGGAGAGAAAGGGAAAGGGAGAGGGGGTATTGATTAGAAGTTAGGTGTCCACGTGGCATAACCTCGCCGATCGCGCCCACGCGTCTGCACGCGGACAGCAATAGAGCTGCGCAGCTTGGCGTACTCAAGATTGCCGGGATCGCAGCTATGCGGGAACGTGGTGCGGGAGTTAGTATGGGCATTCAAGCTACTCGTTAATTATTAGGTTTGCCACCAGCAACTAACATACAGATGTTAAATTTCGTTTCTTGACTCCATTTATTATTACAAACTTACTCTGATAACTACAATGTCCCAATTCGTTGACAAGTCCGCGCTTACTTATAGCCTACGTTACGCTCGCCTGTCCAACTCGTAATTATCTTTTTATCTTCTCGCGATTACTGATTCCGAACACTCGCTTTCAAAAACCATCTTTCGCTTTCAAGCGCCGAAAACTAACTAACTATGTCTCTGCAGCTTTTGCTGCTCTCCTTCGCAAAATTCCCCACAGCGTCGGCAGAGCTGTTAAAAATTGTTTATAAAAAGCATTCGAATATAAAATGGAAATGGTTTAAAAACCATTTCCATTTGAATGGAAATGCAAAATGGGTTTTTAAGAAAAGGTATTCGAATTTAAAATGCAAAAAAGGTATTTTGAAAATGTTTTTTTTTTTTCAAATAAAATGCTTTTTTGTAACTATTTTTTTTTTTTTTTTTTTTATTAGTATTTTCAAATTATGATTTTTTTACATAAATTGTTTATGGTTCTAGCATGATTCATTTGCTTTATTTGCATACATATATATAATTCAAAAGTTGGTAATTTTTTCTTTGTAAAAAATAACTTAAATATTAACTTGTTGATTTTAAAACGACAATTTTTTCAAATAAATCATCTTTCATGCTGCGTCTATGTGGCCGCATTATCATTCCACCATAGGAAAAAAGTCTTTCAACGGGGGCTGAACTTTGTAAACTAGTATTAAACTTAAGAAATATAGTCTTTATGATAGGAAATTGATTTAAAGATTCCAAACTATTGTCTTCATCTTTTAAGTAAGTTAACGTTTCAAGGTTTGTTGAAAAACCAGGCCCGAAATAAGATCACACAGTAGTTGTTATCTTATTTCGGGCCTGGTTTTTCAACAAACCTTGAAACGTTAACTTACTTAAAAGATGAAGACAATAGTTTGGAATCTTTAAATCAATTTCCTATCATAAAGACTATATTTCTTAAGTTTAATACTAGTTTATAATACTAATACTTTGTATTACGACTTATATTTTGATTTAAGCACGGCACAGCACATCAATCTACACAGCTCAAGAATCGCAACAAGACAGATCGCGACGCAGCAACATTCAATGCGTGCTAGTCAAATTCGTCAGACACATAATGTTTCTAGACTAGCGTCGCGACACTCAACATTACGATCGATGTTGCTTTTGCATGAAAATGAATTTCACAATGTTGCAAACTATTGCTATATGCTGCAACATGAGTGTTTCTAAACATAGTGTTGAAATTCAGTATTCAACACACCTCCTCAAAAGAAACATCGATATAACAAAAATTAAAATTCCAAAAAAAAAAAAAAAAAAAAATTATAATACATTAATTCAATGGTACATGATTTCTTAACTTGATGTACTGTACCTTTCTGGGGAGTAACTACAATAACATGGTCCAACATTCGTTGCGACGGATTGGGGAAACCCAGACAAAACCCAACCAGACCATTCTAAATAATACTAATATTATTTAAATTTCAATTAAAAATTAAAGAAAAAATTAAACATCCAATTATAAACTAAGATAAGAATTTAACATTCAATATGAATTCAAGAAACAAAAATAGATTCCATACAAAAAGGAACAATTAAAGGAAAAATTAAATATTCAAATATTTTTCTTCAAATGTAGCTTCATAGAGCATTTTGTTAGTTAATCTTCAGTCAGACACATCTGATCACGCAGACTTAGGAATCTCATTGCTGGTAGAGGCTTCGTCATCATATCCGCCAGCTGACCATCTGTAGAAATAAACTCAACAATAATTAGTTTATTTGCAATTTGTTCCCGTGAAAAATGATATTTAATATCAATGTGTTTCGTGCGTTTGTGGCATGTTGGGTTATTCGCAATGTTAATGCAACCTTGGTTGTCTTCATAGATTTTAATTGGCTTGTATATTTTAAACTTTATTCCTTGCATTAATGACTTAAGCCATAAAGCTTCCCTGACTGCTTCAAATAAAGCCATGTATTCTGCTTCTGTAGAAGAAGCCGCTACTGAATTTTGTTTCCTACAATTCCAGCAAATCAGATTTACGTCAAACATTTTAAATATGTACCCAGTCGTACTTTTCCTGTCACTTTCACAACCTGCCCAATCCGAGTCAGCATATCCAACAATAACATTCTCAAAGTTTGAACTCTTAACATACGTTAATTTCAAATCAATCGTACCTTTCAGGTATCTTAGAACTCTTTTCAGGCATTGCCATAGTTCTTTGTTATTTTTGCTGGTATATCTGCTCAAAATGCTCACTGATGTACATAAATCAGGGCGCGTACATATAATTATGTACATAAGGCAACCAATCAAGTTTCGACGAGGAGCATCGCATTCCTCCTCTGAGTTCAATGCTTCATAATTAAGTTTATTTGCAAGTGGGGTACTAACTGGCTTAGACTCATGCATATTAAATCTTTCTTAAAAGTTTTTAATATAAGTTGACTGACAAAGACTTAACCTATCTCCACTCCTATCTATTTTAATTCCAATAAAAAATTTTATTTCCATTAAATCAGTCATCCTAAATTTGCCCTTTAAATATGATTTAAAATTAGATATCGTTTCAAGGCTTTTCGTTGCTATAATTATGTCTACATATAAAAGTACATAAATATTTTTTAAAATGTCTCCATTATCAATTATGTATATACAACTGTCAACTTCAGAGCTTACAAATCCAATTTCTTTCAGTGCTTTTTCAAACACCTGAAACCAACATCTAGCTGCTTGCTTTAGTCCATAAAGGTCTTTTTTTAATTTACAAACTTTATCATTTCCATATGATAGGCCTTGAGGAACAAGCATATAAATTTCCTCTTTTAGTTCTCCATTTAAAAATGCGGTCTTAACATCCATGTGGTGAACTTATAAATCAAATTGATTTGACAGAGATAGTATAAGACGCAAGCTAGATACTCGTGCTACTGGAGCAAATGTGTAAAACCTCGAGCTACAAGTCTCGGCTTATATTTGGTTGGACTTCCAAATCCATCATGCTTTATCGAGAAAACCCACTTACTATCGAATAAATTCTTATTTGCTGGTCTATCTACAATAGTCCATGTTTCATTTTGATAATGAGACTCCAGCTCTTCTTTTATAGCTTTCTGCCAGTTTGCCTTATCAGCTCTATTCGTGATTTCATCAAATGACTTGGGAACATTATTGGGTAAATTCTGCGCATTCATTAAACAGCTGTTTAAAAGTTTGTAAGACGTCGCTGGTTTGTTCATTAACCTTTCACTTCGTCTAACATCACATTGCTTACCAATGGATTCCACACCAACACATGGTGTTTCAAGAGAATTTTTAGACTGATCATCTGATACACATATATCAGCATTTTCTTCCGTACTCTCATTACGGATGCCCTTCTGGCCTTTATGCTCCTTATTAGGAATGGCAATGAGGTCCACATTCAGCAAATCTGAATTTTTGCAATCCTTACTCTCATTAAGGATATTATCTTGACCTTTATGCTCCTTATCTTCATTAAGGACGTCAATGGGGTCTGCATTCAGCAAATCTGAATTTTCACAATCCTTACTCTTATTAAGGATATCATCATGACCTTTATGATTCCCACTATCA